TGGGAGAGTGAAACAGAAAAATCTCTATCTTCATACTTCAGCTTCATTTTCAGCCCCTTGTTTGTCAGCACAGACTCCAGCGCACATATTTGTGTCTATGATTTACATATGTGTCACATGTGTAGGTTTTGTGCTGGAAGACAAATTCTTTGTTATAAGAAAACTTATGGAACCTAGAAAATGGATTTCCTTCTTAGTTCTTCTGGTTATTAATCTTCCTAAAAGCTCAAGACAAATAAAATTCCCATATCTGAGTCCTTTGTGAGATCCCAGAGGCAGATAAGAATCATTCCTGTGGAGTTGTCTTCACTTTCTGATTTGCCATCAATTCTTAAGAGCAATCCAGTAAAGGTTTATTTAGTACAGCTCTCTGCTGATTTTATAACCAACTGCTGACTGCTCGGGACATAAAACTCTTGATGATTTACAAGTAGTAAGTAGGCAAGAAATCTATAAATCACATTCTAAGTGTATGGGACCTTCAGCACGTGTACATACACACACACACACACACACACACACTTATACATTTCCACCTTCAAAGGAAGAGTTGTAGGCATGTGCAGAAAATATATTGTTTTAATTTGAGAATCAAGAACTCACTGTTAAGGGGCCTACAGTCAATAACCTCTGAGAGTTAAATTGTACCAGGGAATATTTTAATATATAAAGCAAGAGGCTCTGCCCTTTATTTCTTAGGAAGGAGACTCTGGTTCCCACTTTTGAAATGTTCAAAGGAGTTTTTCTGGTCTCTGAAAGAACATTTTCTTTTTCATAAGAAGTTTTACTGACCAAGCCAAAAATGCTAAAGGTTATCAGTGTTTTCTGATACTCTTGAAACTATTCTACAACAGATATTTCTCAACTAAACACTCACTTAAAGATCTCTTTTTCTTTCCATGCATATTTTTTCCCTAGGCCTGTGTTTAGAAAAATCTCTGATAATATGCTAAAAATAGAAAAAAATGTTTCCAGTTCCAGGGGACTCCTGGAATTTCAGGGAACCAATGGAGAAGGAGATATGAAGTGAAAAATCTTGAAAAACATTTTTTTGGGAAAGTGAAATTTAATAAATATGAATCTGCTACCATGAATAGTTTGCCAACTGTCTACCTCCCAAAATATAGTATAATGTAGCTAGAAATTTAGGATGCATTTAGCAAAAAGCTAATCTCATTTGGATCCTGATTCAAGCAAAACAAAGAGATAAAAATAATAAACTTTTATTATTTTTTATTAAATTATTAAAATAATTTGAGAAGTTCTTCATTTATTCATTTCGCATTTGTTATTCAACAGGAACTGAGATTGTGGGTTATCAGAGAGAGGGCAATGAATGAGG